TTATGAAAAAAATTGAGTATAAATCTATAAAAACCAATAAACAAGTCTCTAACTTGGTGATCACATCTCTTACCCATACTACTTTGCAGTAATTATTGCTTTTATACTTGTTTCTATGGCATTTTGTACATAGTCCTATTATAGCTCACTTTAACAAGACACTGAGGGTAATGCTTCTTTTTTGAACTCCTGGTAATCGCCATAGGGTTAACTTACTTAAAGTTTTATTGACTGAGTGGTCAAATTAAGATGATAATTCTAAGCATTATAATATATCATAACTTAAAAAAAAATTAATGTTTATTTTTGAGACAGAGCATGAACAGGGGAGGGTCAGAGAGAGAGGGAGACATAGAATCGGAAGCAGGCTACCGGCTCTGAGCTGTCAGCACAGAGCCCAATGCGGGGCTCGAACTCACAGAGTGTGAGATCGTGACCTGAGCCAAAGTCAGAAACTCCACCGACTGAGCCACCCAGGTGCCCCTAATATATCATTACTTAAAAAGAACAGAGGCATTTCATTTTATTCAATAAAACATCCTACTTTCCAAGGATGACAGTCAAAAAGCCACATTCATTGTGCATCTCTATGACAGAGTATAAAAAAGAAACTGCATAAAACTTCACAATCCTTTATTATTAAAACTAAGCTGTGTGTGTTTCAAATGCGGCCAAACGATGTTTATGGTACCTTCAGATAACTTAGAAACAGTTTTGCTTGTTCCTTAATTCCTTAGATACCAAGGAAAGCAGACATTCAAATAACCTTTTCCCTTTCCTGTTAAGCAACAAATGAAGCAAATAATTGTGGGGCTAGTAGCTGTCTAAGGAGATTAAACAATTGCTTAGCTGAGCCTAAAAAGTATAAATTAAAGATATTAAGGTTTTGAGAAAACTTTTTTCCCACATATTACATTTTTTAACTTCATATGATGTATCTGTTCTCTTTTTAAGTCTCTTAAAGCAGTGATTCCAGAACACCAGTGTTCTTTTTTCTCAAATACACTGCAGCAACTTCTAAGAAAAGTATATAAGCAATACTCAAATTCAAAGGGAATTTTCATCATATTTAAATATAGACTAAATAATTTAATTGAAGTAATCATCCATTTACCAGAAAGCTACAGAAATGCCAGGTTCAGCTCACCAACTCTATCGAGTTGTGGGTTTAATAACACAGCAGTGATTTTATCACCTGTATTTAATGATAGGTAACAAGGTTTCTAACAGTTTCTGGCTTAAAAACAAAGTAGGGCTCTCTAGAATTGAATTTGCCATTATTTTTTTAAGAATCAGATTTGTTTTACAGATTTCATCTAATACAGAAATGTATTACATAATATGTTTGATATAAAAGGGGAGGTGCTCTGCACTAGATAACCTACATATTTTGTGGGTAGAAGAAATTATTTAGATATATATGCTCAAAATAAAAATACTGGCCAAAGAAATAAGTCTTTTTTTTAAATTTTTTAATTTATTTTTGAGAAAGAGAGAGACAGAGCATGAGCAGGGGAGGGGCAAAGAGAGAGGGAGACACAGAATCCGAAGCAGGCTCCAGGCTCTGAGCTGTCAGCACAGAGCCTGACACGGGGCTCGAACTCAGGGACTGTGAGATCATTACCTGAGCCAAAGTCGGACGCTTAACCGACTGAGTCACCCAGGAGCCCCCAAAGAAATAAGTCTTAAAAAAACAGGAAATATGTGACATAAATTATTAATAATCCCTCGAGGAAAAACTGGTCTCATAATCAAAGGTATAAGTGTTAGTTATTAGGGAAAAAACCCCATTTTTAAGCCATTTTAATCCATTTATAAAATCCATTTGGTTGAGGTTACATTCTTAGCAGTGTTTATTTCAAAATCATGCAAGTTATATTGATTATATTCAAAAGCTCTTGATTCAAGTTTCTGTGATAGCTTGGGGGATGAAAAAGGCCATTTGTATGTAATATAAAATCTTTATCACAGTGATCATCAGATCAGAATGCAAGAGTGATTTCTGTTAAAAATGCTGGTATCTGTGTCTTTAAAAATGTTAATACCTAAAGGTACATGCCAATGAAAGAAGAAATCTAAATTTTCTAAGACAATATAGAAAAATAACCATATTTTACATTAATATCTTTGTTTCCTTTTATTAAACAGGGGATATTCTTAAAAGTACTCTATCACTTTCATTATATCTAGAATGCCTTTCCCAGACTATGGCTCATACCATCAGAAATACATTTTCCTGTAGTGGATGGCATGAATCTCACAAACTTGGAAAGAATAGTATTAGCAGCAGACTTACTGATCTGATCAAGAAGGCTTTAAACTAAGACTCAAGGTGGAAGAGAAAAATGTGAATCAGTAAAATGGATATTATGGAAGACAAGTTTGAAATGAAAATAAGACAAAGGGACAAAATTGTCTAGAAATTACTTCGTGAAAATCATGGTTTGGAATAATACTTAGGCCTAGGATATACAGTATACTGAATGCAACTAAAAAATAGTAGACATGTTAAGGTCATAAAATGCCCCCTTTTTTTTAACTCCTTACACAATTCTGGTAACTGAATGTGAGAACTCCAACAGATGTTTATGTAAGGAATGCCCCGCACAAGGGAAGCTGGCCTGTGAGGCAAGTGTGGAATGCATTCCACTCCACATCCAATTGCCCGAAAGGTTATCATTATATTCAATTTACAGGGTAGGAATCTAGGTATAGGTATGTTCAGAAATCTGCTCCAGGTTATATAGTTAAAAAAATGATGAGGCTACATTGGCTAGAATTGGAAGCCAGATATGTCTGGAATGCATAATTTGAAAAAGACATAGAGGAAATTTATACACACATATACACTCTTAATTTATTCTAGAGTAGCAGAGTAGGGGGAAATTGTCTAATTTGTTCACAAGGAACACCACAGTGACTAGGAACTGTGTATCAGTGCACATCAGAGAGTTATATACTAGTTCTATGATCCAGATATGTAAAAATAAGAATTTATAGGAGATGCTAATGTAGGAGAGGAAAATCTGAAGAGAAACTGCCATTGGAAAATAGGGTAGCGATCATTGTGAAACATAATACAGAAAGTAGTTTATTAATAATGAGTACAAGATGTGGACAGAAGGAAGGGCTTCAATTAGTTGGATCCCTCTTAGAAGGAAATCTGATTCTGCTCAAATCAATTTGGGAGGAATGGCTCTAATGGTAACTGCTTTTCTGTTAAATCTGACTTAGAGAGAAGGTAGCTGCATACACAGTGGAGACATTGGGAATGGAGGTTTTGAGAGACGGGAGAGTAAAGGAAGATAATGATGAGCAGAGTTGGGTAAATTCTGCAGACCCAAAATAGGCAGCCCTTAAGTTTACAGGAGCAATGGGCCATTACCCAGGTACTGTAAGAAAATACATCTGAAGAAGAAAGTAAGAAACTAAAGATGAAATTCTGACTTTATCATTGCAAATAAAGTTATAACCAGAAAAAAAGGAAAAGACACCTAAGGAAAATAACAATTTTACAAATAACAATTTGTATTTGGTTCTTAGATATCTCAAAATACAGATAATGAAAGATGAATGTGAATGACCAAATCAAGTGGTAAGGACTCAGAAAATGAGTTGACATGTCTAAAGTCAAGAATGCCCTAAGATGCTGTAAATATGAAAGATCTAAAAATGTTAGCTTAAGGAAAAAAAAAAAAAAAGAAAAGAAAAAGAAGTCCACCAGCTGAAGGAAAAAGAACTGCTAACCTTTCTTGTTTATATTTTCTTTATTAGGGAAAATTGTCATCACATTAGAATGAGTAGAACAAACAATTTCGATATACGTTTGGGATTTACTCAGATTTCCTTAGGAACTGAAGCAAAAGGGGAATAATAAACTTTCTCAATGATACCCTGCTGTCTGCTCTATCAGAGACCTATGAATACTTAGACAAGAAAGTGGCAATTTTCAAATGCCAGGATGTATTTACTAGAAAAAAGATTCTTTTATTTTTTCATTTAGATTAGATTAGACAGGAAAGACATGAATATTCAACTCACAATATATCTTAATTTGAATAATGTATCTTACATAGTCTTTTATTATAACTTTGTGAACAAAGTAGAAAAACACTGGTTTTATGATAATACAACTGAGGGGATTAATGATGGTTGATCAATCTTCTCCAAGCAAACTTTGTCCTTTCTGTTGTGGAAACTCAAAATGCTATTCTGTTATTTCATCAAGGAAGTGGAATAACACTTTACAAGTCTGGGGATAATATAAAGTTGTGAGGGAAAGCTAATAGATTATATAGTCATCAAATAACTCTTCAAAAATGTTTTGTTATGTTGAAACAGTCACTCCAGATAATATACTATGTAACAGGAATCAATGTAAAGACCCACATTTAAATTTCAAAAATGTCATTTACACCAACAAGGGATAATTTGGTTTAACGACGGTTCACTTGAAAATATTTATTTTCACATAACCCATAATCTTTAGCTACTTTAGGAAAACATACTGGATTGTTTTTTCTCATTTTACTAAAATATTTCTATTCTTCCAATATATTAAATTCACTCTTAAAACATCCTCTCTATGTACTTTGAAACCTTTAGTGTAAAAATAACTAAGACTTCTAACTCCTTAGGAAACAAGACAAAGAATTATGCATTATAGGTAAGTGTAAGCACATCTTAAATAAGTTTCTTTCATAGCAGTGATACAGTGTAATTTCTATAGTATATCTAGTGATGAAGGATTTCAGAAGGCTCAAAGGATATCACTTTAGAATGTCTGCGGTCACAGCAGAAAATGCAAAAGTTAATTCAAACATTCGTAAATAATTCCAAACAATTCTATGTAAAGCACAATTATCTTTCATATGTAAAAATATATTCTGGAATTTATGCAAAATGATTAAAAATTTAGAGCAATAAATCATAATAACAAGGTCTTCACAGAGAACCACAAAGAGAGAGAAAAAAAGGCACTGAAGAAATTTCTTTCTCACCTGCCTAATACCCAACCGGTATGCAACAATCCGATCTACTGCATCAGGATTCATTTGTGTCCACTGTAGACTGTAAGAATAAACACGGTGTCTGTTCTGCCACACAGGATTGTAGGTATCATAATAGAATTCTGGAGCATAGGCCTTTCCTAAAAATAGAAAGAGTGCTTAAGTTTAACGATGACACATTAAACATGCATATTCTTTTTGACCCTCTTACCACATTCTACCATGTGTGCCATGAGTAATTCTTCTACTTGAAAAGTCGTATTATTAAAATCTAATCAACTTTCTGGATAATTCTGAGCATAGATACAGGAAGATTTCCTGGCTGATTAGATGAACAGCGTGAGAGGAAGAGAAGAATCAAGGACGATTACAAGTTTTTGGCCCAAGAAAGAATGGAGTTTCCATCAACTGAGATGAAAACCCATCGGAGGATCAAATTTGGGGGCAGAACTTCAGAAAGTTACTTTTGAACAGTTTAAATGATACAAATGGAGTCATCAAGTGGGATATACTAGTCTCGAATTCAGCTCTAATCCAGGATTAGAGCTATAAACTCTTGCTAACCATACGCATATAGATAGATTTTAAATTGAAAGCCATGAGATTGATGAGGTCTCCAAGGGGTTATGAATAGAAAGAGAAGACGACGACTAAGGCCTGACCCTGGAGCAACCCAGCATTAAGAATGATGAGAGAAAATAACCCTGACAAAGTGTGAGAAGGAATAAACCTGTCAACAGGAGGAAAATAAAAATTGTGGCATCCAAGAAGTCAAAAGTAGTATTTCAGCAAGTGAATGATCAATTCTGTCAAAACAAATTAGTAAAAATGAAAATCTGTGTTTAGATTGTGTTTGGTCAATAAATTTGAAATTGCTGAAACAACACAGGGACATAAGAACTTGGGCCAATAACAAAGAGGCTTTTATTTAGATTTTAAGAATATCTGAAGTGCATATAGTGTATATAACATATATAAACCATCTCGGTTTTTTTTTTCCAAGTTCCAAGTTGAAAAATGTACAGACCACTTGGAATGATAGATCCAACTCCTGATATTCTGAAAAACAGATTTTTTCATACTTCATTTTTTTTTACCGATAATGTATTTATTTATTACATCAACATTAAAGGAGAGCCTATTAAATGCCATGTAGTATACTAAACATTGGGGACACAATGAACGAAGTATGGCCTCTGTCCTCATAGAAAATGCTAACATTTTCTTAGACTTTTCAAATAACTTTGCAATTCCTACTGAATGATGAGTTAATAAGTTGTACATTTATCATCCCTCATTCAACATCTTTTCTGTTTTTTATTTTATAAAAATTAAACATTAAATGTCCTCCTGGGTTTTTCCTCCTGGGTTTCTTTCTGTGGGAACTTCTATTACCTGGTTTTTCATATTTCTTCATCACTACTCATCTATCATCTAATCGTTGCAGAAGAGCTGGCCTGTAAACATTTTTTTTAATGTTTATTTATTTTTGAGAGAGAGAGAGTAAGAGAGTGAGCGGAGAAGGGGCAAAGAGAGAGAGGGAAACACAGAATATGAAGCAGGCTCCAGGCTCTGAGCTGTCAGCAACAAAGTCTGTCGCAGGCCTCAAACTCACAAACTTTGAGATCATGACCTAAGCCGAAGTTGGACACTTAACTGACTGAGCCGCCCAGGCTCTATGGCCCATAAACATTTCTAAAGGATAGTTAAAAAATGGGTTTTGCCCACTAAGAAGAGAAGTGATAGTCTCTATTACCCCAGAGATGTTCACCAGGAAAAAATAGCATCGGGTGAGCTGAATTAGATTTTTGATACTTTTACCAGCAAAATTACATGGAATCAAATATCTGAATTTTAGTAACATTTGGAAAAGCCTCCCACATCAATATTCTGTGACTTAAAAAAATGTTCCGTGAATATTCATTCAGTTGAATTGGAAATGAATTAAAAAGGAGGTCTCCTGCATAGAAGGAACTCTCTAGAAAAGAGCCATCACATTCGCTTTATTGTTTCTTTTATCTTTTTATGGTATTTTTATCTATTACTAAGTGATAGCACAAATTTATTGTTCGCAAGACTGAAGGGCAAAATCTAGGTGGAAAATAATGCTCTGAATGAAGAAATCAATACACAAAATGTCACTGGCAACTTGTATTTGAGACCAAATTTCTCAAAATGTTATTGAGGACGTGCATTTAGTAGCAGCTTAAAGAGCTAGGGGTTTTGATTAAAAGTAAGCATCCAAAACGTAAAAATGAAGCAAGTGAGCTGCTTAAGTAAGTAATGCAAACCTGGAGTGTTTTCATTAGAGACTAGTGATGATTTAATTAAGGAAGTAATAGTCTCAGTAGGGTTTTTTTTTTGGAGGGGGGGTGCTTTTGTTTTTTAACCAAGGGGGAAATGCAGCGGTACTAAATTTAGTTCTAAGCATCACTGTTTATAAAATGAAGGACACATTCAAATGGAATGAGCACACAGAGTAGAGTCACAACCTGTGGCTGTTTAGCATACATAGAAAAGGACAAAAAGAAATCTCTCAAAAAAGGGCAAATGCAGTTTTCTAAGAGTTCAAATTCTATCACAGAGAAAGAAGATCAGACAAATTTTAACAGATCTATGAAATAAGATGAATACCAGCAGGTGGCTATTAGAAGGAAACACATTTTGATGTAGAAATGTTCTCCCAATCCTTTCTGAATATGGAATGATCTACATCATTGATTTATTTTCTCTTTGCTAGAGGTATTTAATCAATACCTACTAATCATTTAGCAGGTCTGAGATGGTGAATAGCCACAGGGTGGCCCTTAAAGTACCACTGAGTTGCAGATCTATTGGGTGCTATGAAACATGTGCCTGCTGTTTATTGTATTACTTTAACTGTAGAAATCATAGTAATTTACAGATTCCATTGCATGTTTCTATTGGCTGTAATATAATCCTGTTTTTTGTTTAGTGGCAGGAGGGTAACAGGCTGTCTGTCATAAATGCAAATAGCCATAATTCTAGAACTCATTGTTTACCTAAATAAATACTTTTAAGGTTATTGAAGCAGTTAGACCTTGAAATTAAGAAAATCCTTATGATCCTATGAATAATATGAATTTATCAAGATCTATTTTCAAGATCATCTAACACTCCAAATAGATCCAAATTTCAGTGTAAAATTCCATCATCTGTATATTTAATTGCAGAATATTATAAAGGCTTTCCAGAATATTTTCAAAAATATTTTATTTGCATTGATATATCTGTATTATTGTGAGTAACATAATATGCAGTCATCTTTCATGGACAATCAGATTAGAAAATAATTTAGAAATGATCTGTTCCAATATCTCATATGACAATAAAGAGATTTAGGAACAAAGAAATGGTGATGATGTATGAAAGTTGATATAAATAAAAAATCAAATAAAAAAGGCTCCATTACAAATTTTGACTTTGATTTGTGAAATTAAAAAAAATAGAGAAAATTTTATTTTAATTAGAAGTTTTATGTTTTTACTTTTTTTAATTTTAGTTGAACTGCACAACCTTAGAATTAAAGATGAAAAAGGTTTTTGGGGCTCCTGGGTGGCTCAGTTGGTTGAGTGTCTGACTTAGGCTCAGGTCACAGTCTCACAGTTCGTGAGTTTGAGCCCCGCGTTGGGCTCTGTGCTGACAGCTCAGAGCCTGGAGCCTGCTTCAGATTCTGTGTCTCCCTCTCTCTCTCTGCCCCTCCCTCTCCCTCTCTCTCTCTTAAAAGTAAATAAACATGAAAAATGATGAAAAAGTTTTTAGATGGTGCACAATATTGAATAGTAATAAATAATTACTGACAAGAAATCTTGACGAGTTACAGTTAAATATAGATATTATACTTATGTTTCAGAACATATTTCGACTAAATCTCTTTTGTATAAATTTTATTGAATAAAATGCTTTCTATTTCATTTAGAGAAATAATTTTTTAAAGTGACATACACACACATTTCTTCTCTGATTTCAGAGCCAATCATATTAAATATTTATACAGTCATTTGTAAGAAGCTCACCATAATACTAAAGAAATACCCTTATAATAATCCTAGACTCTGACAACCAAACATGACATCTGCTGGTTGAACACAGAAAGAATTCATAACATATTTTTTTTTCTTTTTTATTCTGTGGGCATTTTTTTCTCCTTCTAGCAAGCATGCCAAGAAATTTCCTTTCTCTTTTATATTCTAGTTTTATTTTTATGCAACGTTGTCCCAGTTTAAATCTTTTTAGACTAAATGACCTAGTTCATTATCTAAACTAGCAGATACTTTTTAGATATATTATGTTCATAGATTGTAAATTTTAAAATATTCTTAAAATATACACAGATAAAATATTTAATTGTTCACAATTTTAAATAGAATTTGTATAAAATACATTTACTCTCTGGCAAATAACTTTTGAAAAGTGATTAAATTGGTATTTCAAAATATGATTTTATGCATAAGCTAAAAGTTGAAGATCTAGTAAGAAGATATAACATGTCACTTTCCATAGCAGTAAAGACAGTTATCTCAGACATAGGGTTACTAGAAAACAGTTTCCCTTCACCAGCAAAGGAATATGACAAAAAAATTATATTAAATCATCATTTAATCTTTAAATATATATATTAATTTTTAACTTTTATTTTATTATTGAGAGAGAGAGAGAGAGCAAGTGCACATGAGCTGGGCAGAGAGAAGAGGAGACACAGAATCTGAAGGAGGCTCCAGGCTCTGAGCCATCTGCACAGAGCCTGACACGGGGCTTGAACTCACAAACTGTGAGATCATGACCTGAGCCGAAGTCGGACGCTTAACCGACAGCCACCCAGGCGCCCCATAATCATTAAATATATATATTAAATCATCATTGGCCAGTGATACCACTGGAGTGCTTGAGTAAATCCAATACCAAGTTATTTTGGAAGACATATTCTCAATTTAGACTACAGAGAATTTATCCTAATTAAACCTCAATGGATATGAATTCAGAATATAACATTACTAACAAGAAAACGTTCAACTATGAATGACTAAGAAAGCCAATAAACAGCTGAATTAGTCTATAGATAAATAGAAACACATAATAGAATTTATAAATAAGTATGCCCAAGACCATTGAAGAATTA